ATGCTTGCGGTTGTTGTGAAAAAACTGTAGTAGTTACTCCTCCCATTGTGTATGGCCTCTTTGTCAAATTGTTACGACCTTCTTAGAACAAGTGGCGTGGTTGCATTGGTACCACATCACATACTACCTTATCTGAATACTTACCAATGGTGAATGGTATGGTGACTTGCTCAACAATCTTGAGCTCAGTTTCATCATAAAGCCATCTCAGTTTGTAGGGATGGGGATGCTTGATCTTCTGCAAACCTAGCTTTTCAACCAAATACTTGCTAGCTACATTAGTGCATGATCCTCCATCAATAATCAAACTACATACCTTAGAGTTGATTGTACATCTTGAGTGGAAGATGTTTTCACTTTGCAAGGTTTCTGAATCATAAAGTGTACTGAGTTCTCTCCTTACTACAAGTAACTCACCAGTTTCAGGATAGTTGACTACATCATCTTCTGAATACTCTTGGTCCATTTCTGCTTCATCTTCAGATTTATATTATCCATTGGGTGTAAGGATCATAACCCTCTTGTTTAGACAGTCTCTTGCATAATGTCATCTACCCTGACACTTAAAACAAATAATGTCACGAGCTCTAGTGTGTTGTTGACTAGGGAACTTACCTTGCGAGGGGTTGGACCCTTTATACGTTTCTGCTGCTGATTTCTTGAACCGTGAGTACACTTCTATGGACTTTACTTTGTCCACGTTTCTCTGAGCTTGTGGAGTCCAAGTACTCTTGCTTCGGTTGGTAGAGGCTGTCTTCCTCTTGATATGTTGTTCAGCTTGGATGGCCAAGTGTAGAAGCTCTTCCATGTCGTGGTATACTTGCCTTTCCACTTTCCTAGCAATTCTGTCTTGAAGTCCATCCATGAACTGAGCCATCAAGGTTTCTGGTGGATCTTCTACTTCCAACCGGTTCTTGAGGATCTCAAACTCATGATAGTATTCTTCCACAGACTTGTTCCCTTGAGAGAGCTTGCGGAATCTCCTTTGCAACTCTCGGTGATAATAGGCAGGTACATACCTCTTCCTTAGGCTGAACCGCATATATGACCAGTTGTTAATCTGAGCATGTCTATGCCTTCTTATTTCTGAAACATCCCTGTTCCACCAAGACAAAGCATTGTCAGTTAATTGAGCAGCAACTAATGATACTTTTCTTACCTCAGAGTATTGGTAATAATCAAAGATGGTCTCCATCCTTCTCTCCCAATCAAGGTATGCATCGGGATTGATCTTCCCAGCAATTGTAGGTGGAGTGAGCCTGATGTTTGTGCCTCTGTAACTAGCATAGTCATCTACTCTGCCTCCTTGATGTGGTCCTCCATTGTTGGGATGATCAGGGGCGGATCATCATCTAGTTCTGGCATATCGTCATCATTCTGTTGCTGGTTCCTTCGCCCATTAGCAGCTGGGTTAGCCTCTCTGTATGGTGCAGGAGCAGGAGCAGGAGCAGATTTCTCTATCCTAGCTACACGTGCACCCAAGGTGGCAAGTGTCATTTGGATGTTGGCTAGAATGTTGGCAAGGCCAAGATCATCTGGTGCAACAGGGTCAGTCATTCTTTCCTGCTTAAGACAAGGAAAACAAACAAATTAAGTACAATATGTGTGGTAGGGAAACTTCAAACCCAAACACAATATCAATGTTAAAGTATTTAAACTAATAATGACAAGGGTGAATACAATGAAATATGGCAATAACACAGCAATTTGTAGAAATGAAATGACAAAGGATCAAACAAATGATAAATATTTTTTTTTTAAAATAGATAAGGAAATAATCAAAAATAAACAAATGATTTCTTTTGTGATTTTCAAATTTAATGGATGCAAAGCAAATCAAGAAAAATAATTGCAAAGATATATATATATATATATATATATATATTTTGACTTTTCTGGAAATAAAAAACACAAAAACAAAAATAAGAACACAAGAACAAAAAGTTAAGAACAAGAGATAGATTCAACTGATTGTGGAGCCTTACCTCTGATACCAGATGATATAAGATCAAGGGGGTATGATCTTATAAGGACATGTGAATGGATGAAAATAAGCAGCTGGACTGAAGTCTCTTTCTACTTGCTCACGAGAAATGATCGAAGTGGATGGTGATGGGATCAATCTGCTGGACTGAAGTCTCTTTCAGGCTTGATCAGTGGATGAAATAGAAGGATGGTGGGATAAAGGACGCCACTCAGCTTCATTGAATAAGCAGAGGTAAGTCTAGAACTCAAGAGAAAGGCTTCTCACACAATCTCAAAGAACTCTGGTTTTTGTTTGTAATTATGTAAGAACAACAAAAAGAGTTTTTCTTATTAATTAAGTGTGAAAAAATACATAACTGAATGGAACCTTATATATGGTTCAAGCATCTGAGGACTTCCTTGGCTAATTTATTACAATAGTTAATGCAATAATCAAAAATGCAAAATCAAAAGAAAATCAAAGCAAGAAATACAAAAGTTCATAAATAAAAGATTGCTAATTTTAAGGGAATTAGCTGTTTAGATCAAACAAAGATAAACACAAAGGATTAGTCAAAATATGATATAAATAATTCAAAGACTTACCTTGATTTGCTGTGGGCGGATTGATAGATTTGGAAGTCCAGTTTGATCTCTCATTTGCTTTGATTCAGCTCGGTTTGATGGAAAACAATGTGGTTCCTTGGTTGGATGATATAACTGGCCAAGCTTCTTCATATGAGTTGAATTTGATGTATGAACCGTCCTTCTGGTGTGCATCATGAACTTGAGTGATGTGGTCTTCAAGTGTCTCCTTTGAAGCATCCTTTGAAGTGATGGTGAGTTTGTCAAGTTGGTCCGTTATTTCTTCAAGTGCTTGTTGGCTTAGTAGACTGTCCACGGCTTGATTATACTCTTTTTGAAGTCGATTTGTACCAGCTCTTGTCCTTAGTGGAAACCTCATGGCGGGAATCACATCTTCAGGATTGATGTCCGCATCAGGTAAGGTTTGTAAAATAAATAAAAATTGATTTTATTTTAATTTTTATATATTTATATCTATTTTATATTGATGATTTCAACTATATATTGATTTTATACCATACATTTGTATCTATTGTATGCATGACATTTCAAAATTAAAATTTGTTTTCTTCACTTTAGAATTATAAAAATACCTAAAAATATGACTTCAATCCTTCTTTATTTTATTGGTTTATGTTATAATATAAGATTTTTAACATATAAAATGTATTGTTTTTTGTATTAATACAGTAAAGAATTTTACAATAATCTAATCAATACTAATCATACACAAAATTTAGAAAATTCCAAAGTACATAATACTATATTAATTTTTTTATATTACATATATATATATATATATCCATAAATGATGATGTAAAATAAAGCAACAAAAATAATAAGCAAAGAACGCATTTGACACCATAAGAAACAAAAACATATACTCAAAGAAAAAAAAAACATGAAAGCAATTACCTATTCGGAGAGAAAGTAATACAATATCACCACCAAGATCCGACCACTTTGCTACTTTTTACGTATAAAAAACACTATTTGACATTAGTAACCGATGTTTTAATATCTAAAAGTAAAAAAAATTATAGACAATGAACAGTACAATCTAGAACTATTGTAGAGGGTATAGATTTTTATTTATAGAGAAGAGAAAGTGTACCAAACAATCTAGGTTTATCCCCAAATTTAAAATTTCATAAATTTAATATTAATTATTTAATTTTTGCTTTATTTAGATATTTCAGAATACTTTGTTAGGTTAGTTAAAGAAATTCGAAAATTTGATAAATCTGTATATTGGTTTGTTAAAAATATGTTCAGAGATTTTTAATTTGATTTGTTTATATATAAAATTATTTATGACTATTATTTCGATGTTTCTGTTTATAAAAACATCTCTTTCCATATGTAAATATCTATTATCAATTAATGGTATTCCATTTTGGAAATTAGTTGACTTATCAATTAATAGTATTCGATTCTGAAAATTAATTGATTTATCAATTAGTGGTATTCAATTCCGAGTTTCATGTTTAATATTTGTTAAATAATAATGTGTTAACTAAAAAATAATTATTTAATTTACCACATTACAGAATTAAATACTATTAATTGATACATCAAATAATTATTTTGAAAATGTTATACAAATAATAGTATTTGTTAGAATATATTTTAATTTTTGAACTTTCAATTAAAAACCAAATTGTTAATAAAATAAATATATTTCTATTTTTAAAATTTTCTACATAAAAATCAAAATATTTTTAATAATAAATTCACATTATATTTTTGTAAAATAGCTTTTCAAATTTGTTTATAAAAATAATTTGCAACTTATTCATTTAAAATTTTTATTTTAATGTTAATATCAGTTTAATATTAAAATATATAAACGAATGTTTGAAAATAAGAAAAGAATGCAACAATTAATTTTTTAGTTAATTATTTTTAAATTTGAATTAATAAGAAGATAGTATATTTTGAATATTTAGTTGTGAGTTAAAATAGTGTTTGACTATAAGAATAGCAGTAGACAAAAATTGGAATTAATTAAATTAAAAGTAATGAAAAAAATTGTAGGAGTGACACATCAGCAAAAAATGGTCATGAATGTTTTGACTTTGATATATAGTAGATTTACAACTTATAAACTAATACTATCTATTAACAAAATTTTACTAACAAATATAATAAAATAAATTGTAAAATTAAAATAGTTAATGTACGCAACGCCTACACTTTCTCCGAATTGTGAATAGGATAAAGATACATCAAAGCCACTTTGCAGAAGTTCAAATAAAAGAACGACCTTTATAAGAATGAAGCAAACTATATAATAATTACAATTAAATACTTTTTATTTTGTAATTAAATACAGTAATGATTCAGATCAAGAACAATGACAAAGCCTTCGAATACGATGCTATGGTCCACTTGGTTGATACCTTTATTCTTGTTTTACACATATGTGGTAATTATATCATGAGCTTAGCTCAAACAGGGAAAGTTGGGATGCTCTGCTCGTGTCTGAAGATGTTACCTGGATCAACCTTTGATTTAATCCTCACCAATCTCTCGAAATTGTCTTTGAAGTACTTAGTTCCCCAGATTTGAGCTTTCTCGTAGTTCGCTTTCGTGTTCTTCGTGTTCTTTCCCAGGTCTAGATCTCTGTAGTTGACATATGATTGTCTTGGATTGCTTGAGACATACGGCGTCATGAAACTGTACAGATCTCTGATCCAGTTAATGTGTCTTGTAGGCTTCTTCTCTGTGTCTGTGTTATAAAGAATCTTGAAGATGGTTCCGTTTCTATGCGGGAAAGGGATCTTGGATTCAGGAACTTTAGCCATCGCTCCACCGTAAGGAGTCCAAGCAAGAAACGAAGCAGGCTGTTCTTGATCTTGAAGCATTCTCTTGAAGATTCCTTTAAGACCTAAAACAGGAATAGGTTCTTTCACGATATCCGACTTTGATTTGAAGGAAGGTTTTCCGAAAGGTGATTTTACTTGAAGCAAAGCCTTAATAGGAGTATTCGTCGGAAATTCACCATTAAAAAGAATGGTTTCGATCCAGCTCATTTCGGTACAATCCTTCAGAGTTAGCCCTAGTTCCGGAAAACCCTTGTTCATAACCTCAATCAGAGTGCCTTTTCCGCCAAGAAACTGCCCTCTGTACGATGTTGCCACTGTCTTGTTTCCACCGTTTCTACTGACTCTGATTGTCACTCGTATGAAGAGTTCTTCAACAAGCTTGTTTGCAACTCGTTGCCACTTAGAAAGAGTCTTGAAGTTAGCGTCTTGTTCTAATGTTTTGATAACATTGAAGACGATTAGGGTTTCAGGAACAAGAACAAGCTTGAGCTTCCATGCTAGAATTACCCCGAAACTCGCTCCACCGCCTCCTCTAATCGCCCAAAACAGATCCTCGCCCATCGCGCTTCTGTCGAGTAATTTACCATTAGCATCAACGATCTTTGCGTCTAGAACGTTATCTGCAGCAAGACCATACTTCCTCATCAAGGCACCGTATCCACCGCCTGTTATATATCCACCTATGCCTACGGTTGAGCACAAACCCGCAGGGAATCCATGGATCTTGCTCTTCTCCGCAATTCTGCAGTTAATCAGATACAGTTTTTATATAGAGTTTCGTTGTTTGTTTGTACAGTAATTGGTTTTACATTATGTAATCTATAATATGTAAATCCAAACATGATTCACTGTTAGTCAATATATAGTTGAGTTTGCTACTTATATTATATCAAAAGTACACAAATGAAACTATTGTATTCGTCAATTTGACAAATTTTACATTCAACTGTCATAAGAAAATATTTTCTCAAATCTGTTTAAATTATATATATGATTTTTTATATTAAAATTTACATTTTTTTTGTATTTTGTAATGGCGCCGTATAGATTCTGCAGTTGGCCGAAATATTCAATAGTGATATATTATTGTTTTTACTCTTGTTGCGTGTATAGTTTTGTTTTTTTGTTTGTGTTTGGTTTTACATTATTTAATCTAGAATACAAATTCAAACATAATTCATTATTCAGTATACTAGTTATTATTTTTAAACAGTTTTGTGATGTTTTTATTTTAATAAAATAATAACTTGTAACATTTATGTGATATTAATATATGATGTCATTTATAAGTGTCAAAATGGACTAATTTATCCATATAACCTATGTCTGTCACGAATCGGTATAAAATATTTTTAAACAGAGGAAGTTGATTTTGTATGCAACACACAGTGGTTCAACAAAAAAAGAAGAAGATTACCTGTAGTAAAGTTCACCAAGTGTAGCACCAGCTTGAACCCAAGCACTGTTGTCTTCAATATTAACTTTGATCTTTCTCAGTTTCGACAAATCGAGCAATAAAAATGATGTTTCGATCTGCGAAACATAAGACACGCCTTCGAAATCATGACCGCCGCTTCTAACACGGAGATGAATTCGGAGTTTCTTCGAACATATGATGGAAGCTTGAACGTGAGATTCATGAATCGGTTTAAATATGAAACTCGGTTTAGGTAGTGACTTGGTCAAGAACCGTGAATTTTGAGCCGTCGATTCAATGACTTCGATAAAGGTTGAGGCATTTCTTTCAGGAGTGAAGAAGGTTTTATCGAGTGGAAAATCAACATATGTGTTTTTGTGGAGACATTTTATGAAGCCATCTTGTAGGGAGTGTGAAGAAATTGGTGTTATTGTGTAAAAAGAAAAATATAGGGCTAAAACCAATATGTAAGAAATCATAGGGAGTGATTTTGAAACTCTCATCCTTGCTGGGAGATTATGTTGGGAGCTTTCTTCGTTTTGTCACTGAACAAACGTATATGTATAAGTATGGATACGAAAAATTATGTTAAGGAAAAAAAAATGAATATAAAAGCTTGTAATCATACAAGTTTTTGTAAGTTTAGCTGACTATGTCATTATCATAATATTATTATCGGTCGTTATGTTTTACATTGACCACGATTATTTTGTCTTATGATTGGACACAATGACAATCACTTGTTAACGACTTGACTTTTCACATATCTTGAAAACGTTGACTTTCAGCTTTTGACCTTTTCTTCATTTTCTTCAAAGCCTAGCTAGCTCGTTATCTTGTGACTTGTGTTGTAGAATAAGAATAAAAATGAATATCAGAGATTGTGATCATACAAGATTTATTAAAGTTTGAGTAGGATAGAACATTAATATACACGAAAGATTTTGTGTATAGCTACGAAAAACTCAAAAAGCTACGAATTTTTTTATATAGCTACGAAAAAGATAGTTATGATACCATAGCTATGGAAAAAGTCAATAAATTGTTTTGGTCATAAAATCGTGATTAGTATTTTTTTACTATATGCATATTTTTGTATTTTCTTGTAGCTTTTTCGAGCTAGTTTCGTAATTATTTGTGTGTAGTGTATTCGCACCAGATCTAAACCGACTCAATCCAAAAAACGGTTTGGTTTGGTTTTGGTTCTTGCTACAAAACCGATTGGATTTTGATCAATTTCAGTTTGAATCTCAGTTTAGTTTGAGAACAACCCATTAACCCGATCCGAGGATTCGAATACCCTTTAGTTCTTTGTAAGGCTTTCATCTTATCAGGTTGATTAAGGAATGGGTAAAAACAAACCACTTGGGTGACTTTTTTTTTTTTTTTTTGAATTACTAGGAGGTTAATCCTCACAGATCCAAAACCACAACCACAATATGTAATATTTGTTTCGTCTCAAGCGTAACTCGATTCTGTAACCTCTAAACTTTACTTAATATTTACTAGTGAAGCTAACAACACTTGGTTCAATGATACAGAGATACGAGCCTATAGAACAGATACTGTTGTACCATTGGGTGACTCGTAAAAAGCAATGTTTCAAAATTTGACCCTAAACACAAAGTACTACGTACATGCATGCCTTTATATTATAGCTGGAACATTTTCTGAAAACGGAAGAACCATCATCTGATTTCTTAATGATCGATTATTTCAAGAACCGACCATCAAAAGATTATTACCCCTGATGAAGTCATATTCTGTGTGGACAGCAAACATAGTATGCATTGTCTTTTCCTTTGTGCTCTTGTCCAGAGACAGAAGATTGTAAGTATGGTTGCTTCCTTTGCTTTTTCGTTAGTCCAAGCAATCAAATTTCTTGAAACTAACTGGAAAGAATTGTGTAATAATATCCGGTATGGTTATATTAGCGAGTGGATCACCGACCTTCCATGCAGAGAATCTGTCTCCCTCATACTTGGAGGACCTAATCTTGAATTTGCAGATATGATTGAAAGTGAATGCAGTCAAAAATCATGGGGAGGTATGATCACACGGCTATGGCCTAACATCAAATTCATTCAAAGCATTGTTACAGGACAGATGAGCCAATTCATCCCATTATTGGATTTCTATTCCAACAAACTTCCTCTTATCTCCCCAAGTTATGCATCTTCCGAGACAATATTTGGCGTAATTGTGAATCCTCTATGCAAACCACAAGACGTGTCCTACACATTTATTCCCAACTATTCCTACTCTGAGTTCCTACCTGCTGATGAAGGAAACGATGGTTAAATTGTTGATCTCGTGAACGTCAAGTTCGGCTTCTTTTATGAGCCCTTGATCACAAATTATTCCGGTGAGTTATGCACATGTATAATTTTTACACTCACAAGTATATCTATGTATATAATCTCTCACAACTATATAATAAAATAAAAGCTAATCTTTTTCAATTAAAATTGTTGCTATAGGCTTATTATACATATATAGAAATGGGAGATATTCTACAAGTGACGAGATTCTACAGTAGTGCACCACAATTCTGATTTGTACGTTGAAAAAATGTTGTTCTCAGCGTCCAAGTGGAAGCAACAACTGAAGAAGATCTTTTTAAGGCGTTGAATCTTGCGACACGGTTTCTTGAATCTTCAGGTTTAAAGTTGATGGGCTTCACTTGCTATTCTGACCTCTCCACAATCCCAGGTAATTTATGTTCTTTATTGGGAGCTTAAAGCCCAAAACTCGAATGGCATTGTTAAGCTTGATGACAAGGTAATGATTGAATGCTGCTGTGTTGTGGAAGAACCACGTTATTTATAAAAGATTCAGGTGTAAATTTGGCTCAGTCGGAGCTCTAGAGATAAGGGTTGTGCAACAAGGAACATTCGATTCTCTCATGGAGTATTTCATCTCCAAGGGTGCTTACACATCTCAATACAAGACACCTTTATGCGTAAACTCTCCTGAAGTTTTAGCAGTTCTTGAAAAAAATCTTCAGCGACAAATCCCCTCCCCTTTGTTTAGATAATTGAAAAATAATGAAGGGACAAAGTTAATTGATGTAATTGGTCTCTATTTAGAAGTTGGTGGTTTTGTGTGCTATCTAAATTTGGTATCGCATGCGCATGGTCATTAAAAAAAAAAGAAACATCTGTAATAATTGAAAAAAAAAACATGATTTGGTTTGAACATTCTCTGAAATACAGAAGAACCAATAGCTGAATTTTCTTTTTTTCTAGTTTATTGCATGTTCTTAATGCAATAAGCTAGTTTTCGTAATTCTTATTCTTATTTGATATAATTTTCGTTATCATTAGCTTAGCTTTGAACAGGGAGAGTTGGGATGCTCTGCTCATGTCTGAAGAAGTTCTCTGGATCAAATTTTGATTTAATCTTCACCAATCTGTTGAAATTTCCTTTGAAGTACTTAGCTCCCCAAACTTGAGCTTTCTTGAAGCTTTTCTTTGCGTTTTTCTTGTTCTTCCCGAGGTCTAGATCTCTGTAGTTAACGTAGGCCTGTCTTGGATTGTTTGAGACATAAGGCGTCATGTAACTGTACAGCTCCCTGATCCATTTGACATGCCTGTTTGGTCTCTTGTCGCTGTCTGGCCAAGCCGTTAGGTACTGGATCTTGAAGATGACTCCTTTTCTATGAGGAAAAGGGATTTGGGTTTCGGAGATTTCTGCCATCATTCCACCGTAAGGATTCCATATCATCGCCGGCGAGTCCTCCGTGAGCAACTTCTTGAACATTCCGGTTAGCCCGGATTCGGGAATCGTCTTCTTCACGAAATCAGATTTGGCTTTGAAGTTGATCTTTGGGAAAGGAGACTTCCCTTGAAGCAAAACACTAGTAGGAGTGTTGCCTGGGAATCCAGAAATGTAAACAATGGATTCGAGCCAGCTCATTTCGACACAATCTCTCGGTGTTAGCCCTAGCTCTTGAAAATCCTTCTTCATAACTTCCATCAACGCGTGTTTGTCGCCAAGAAACAGAGCATTGTACGACGTCGTAACAGTCTTGTTTCCATTGCTTCCTGCAGCTACGTTAAAGATCACTCTGATGAACAGCTCTTCAACAAGCTTGTCCGCGACTTCTTGCCACTTTAAAAGTACCCTTGCGGCGTCTTGTTCTAACGTTTTAGTGACAGTGAAGACGGTTACGGTATTTGGAACAGGAACAAGCTTGATCTTCCATGCAAGAATTACCCCGAAACTCGCTCCACCGCCTCCTCGAATCGCCCAAAACATATCCTCTCCCATGGTGGCTCTGTCGAGTAATTTACCGTTTGCATCAACGATCTTTGCGTCTACCACGTTATCTCCACCAAGACCGTATTTCCTCATCATTGAACCGTATGCACCGCCTGTTATGTGCCCTCCTATGCCTAAACTCGAGCACAATCCCGCCGGGAACCCATGGACGTTGCTCTTCTCCGCAATCCTACATGTAACCAAACAGTTTATTGATCAACTATACAATCACAAAACAGTTTCTTGATCAACTATATAATCAAATATTCAGTTCTTGATATATATCTTTTACTTAATTTACCTGTAATAAAGCTCACCAACTGTGGCACCAGCTTGAACCCAAGCATTGTTGTATATAATATTAACGTTGATCTGTCTCAGCTTTGACAGATCCATCAGTATAAACGGTTTTTTGATCTCTGAGACGTAAGACAGACCTTCATAGTCGTGACCGCCGCTTCTGAAACGGAGATGAATTCGGAGTTTCTTGGAACAGATGATGGAAGCTTGGACGTGAGACTCATGAACCGGTGTGAATATGAATCCCGGTTTAGGCATTGACTTTGTCAAGAACCGGAGATTCTGAGCTGTGGAATCAAGGACTTTGTTGAACATAGAGACGTTTTTCGCAGGGGAAAAGAACGTTTTCTCGAGTGGGAAATCGACATTTGTGTTTCTGTGTAGACAGTTGATGAAGACATCTTGTAAAGAGATTGAAGAAATTGGTGTGATTATGGTGTAGAATGAAAAAGATAGGGCTAAAAGAGAAATGTAAGAAATTGTAGGGAGTTGTTTTGAAAGTCTCATCCTTGCAACATCTGCAGAGCCAATAAGAGACAACACAAACACTGAAACACAGAATTAGGCTTCAAGATGGACGTTGAAGTATATCTGTATATGAATAAGAAAGATTGTGATAAAACAAGATCCATCAAATTAGTTGATGAGAGTGTGAATAAGCAACGTGCTTAGAGAATGGAGTGATTATTATAAGATTAGGTAATTATGTCCAAATTAATTACTTCCTCTGTTTTTAATTGTATGAAGTTTTCGGATTTTCACACATATTAAGACAAATTTTTATAAAAGTTTACTATCTATTTAATCCCAAGATGAGAGTTCTGACAACCATTAATTAAGTGGGGACGTGACAGCCATATTTCACATGTTTTGAAAACGTTGACTTTCTTGTAGTCATGTGGTTCAAAACAAAAAAAAAATAGAAATGCACGTTAAGTTGGAAAAAAAGCAAAACATGCAAGTAACTAAGTAAGATACATAATCACATTTAATCCATTCATATTGAATACACATCCAAAAAGTAATACCTACTTAATTACTTATTTGTGGTTTCGTGATAAATTAGTTCTAGTCTTCTAGACATGAAAATTGACAATTGTGGTCGAAGATCGCATAACCACGTCAAGTTGGTTAATAACCTTATCTAAATCGGAAATACATAGCTGGAGCAATTAAAAGAATATTAAGATCGAATATAAAGGAAAAAAAATCGTTATTGGTTATTCCTATCAACTGGAACTCACACGTTTGTTGTAATGAAATGGTAATGGTATTAGTAGAAAACTTAGTATGCTATATGTTTGGACAATTTTTTTACTATTAAATCGGATGAATTCAAAAAGTATACGCAGCAATAACTTTGTTAGTTTTGATCAATATTTTAATAAATAAATGTAGTTTATTAGTTTATAATATTTAATTTTAGAAATAAAAATTAACTTAGAACACATCCAACAGTAAAACAATCTGTATTGCATGTCTCTAAATCTATCAGAATATAATATTAATAAAACTAAAAATAGAGAAGAAAGAGAATAGAGTTTATAAATATTTTAAAATAATCCAAAATGAGAACATAATGTGAAATGAGTAATTTATTGAAGAAAAATTATGAAAATAATTTTTATTATATAATTTTTATTTAATTACCAATGCTACTTTTGTAACTACTTTTACTTATAGCCTACTGAATGAAGATTATCGGCAGATTGATTGACCTCACAATTGAAAGTATACTATTGACAGATTAATAACAGACTAAATGCAAATTATTGGCAGACTAATTACAGATTAAACACTCACCAATGGACCTCTCTTATGGATATTTTAGAAAAAGTCATATTTCGTAATAAAATTGCCAAATACGTTATTTAAAAAATTATTCCTTTATTTATGAGAAATTCATATATGTTTTCACATCAACTAAATAATAAAATTAAATAATATTATTATAAAACTGATAAGAAATTTTTGTTAAAAGATTCACCACTGCAGATATTTTAAAAGTACCTCCATCAAAAAGTTGTCAAAAAGTATTTCAACACAAAAATAATATTAAAAAAAATAAAAATATGTGAGAAAGGTGAAATAAGAATCTCATTTGAGATATATTTAGATACTCTTATAACTTCTTTATACCATATATTTTATTTTTATTAATTTTTTTTACAAACCAAAATTTAACCACATAATTATTATTGAGACTTAAATTGAGTTTCTAAACTATAAAATATTGATATTTTGATTTTATTTATCTAACAAATTAAATTTTAGTTTTAAAAAGTAATTGATCTAATAATTTAAAAAACAGATGTTTTAAACAGAATATTTTGGAACTTTCCAACTGATTCGATCTTTTTTTCTTTTGTCTTATCAAATTTCCGGAAATCCTATCGGAAAAAGGAAAACTACCAAAATTACCAGAAACACGACATTTTTTTTCTAGGGTTCTTCAAATACCTCAAAGGATATTCACAGCCGATTACAAGCAAGTTGAGATCTAGAAAGCAGCAAATCCTATTCTTACTGGTAATGGACGGAATGATCAACAAAGCCCTAGAATCGATGTCGCTGGAGGTGGATCAGCCCGTAAAGATACCGAATGACGCAAGATTTAGTGCTGTGGTGAGGAGTGCACGAAGCCTCATAGGGAGACTTTTGAACCTGGAGTGTCAAAACATGGCGAGGATGTTGAGATCTATGCCACGTATCTGGAAGATTTATGACAGAGTCAGAGGAGTGGCCCTCACGCGTGAGAATTTTCAGTTCATATTTGAACTAGAAACAGATTTGGAGACAGTGATGAAAACCGGGCTGTGGTTTTTCGATGATTGGGGTTTGGTAATGGATCGATGGCAGGAATTTCCCCCAGCGGATTTTCTCAAGTCTGCACCGGTATGGATTCGAATGCACAACCTGCCGGTGAACTACTTCACTTTAGGAACGATGGATGCGGTGGCAAGTGCGATTGGAGGGGTTAAAGTGATTGAATATGATCCAGAAAAACCCTCGCTTCAGGAATACATCAGAGCACAGGTGTCGCTGGATTTAGCACAACCTGTGAGAGATACGAAGTCACTCGATCTTCCAAATGGCTCTGTAGTGATCGTTGGAGTGGAATATGAGCACTTCCGAAAGAAGTGCTTCCATTGCTTGAGACTCACACACGAGAAACAAAGATGTCCTTTACTGCAGGATAGTAGACCCAGAGGTAGTCGTGGACAACAAGTTTCTCAGAACAGAGCTAGCTCGAGCTTTCAACCACGATAACACCACACGAATCTTGCTGAGAAAATCATGCCTCTCTTAGCGCCATCAATCCCGCCCGGTTTCAGCCCTCCGACGAACATAGTTGCCCCAGTGGTTTTTGAGCAGATGAGGATGTACATGGTATGTACTGATCCAGATGAAAGAATGAGAAGAGAACACCGAATGAAACAAACTTTGGATGAGTTCTCTCGCGACCCTATAAGCCAAAGATCAGTGTTACGTTTAGAGGCTCCACCAAATATCCAGGTAGTGAACTCTAAGGGTAAAGGACAAGCCGGAGATGACATGCTCTCAACCTCAAACCGAGAGAGCTTAGTTAGCTCCAAAATAGGGAATTTGACGCTACCCCAACAGAACTACGAGATGAGAGGAAGGGAAATACAGACAAACGAGAATGGATGTCAGAAGGAGGAACCCTTGAGAGCTCCGATCCACAGCCTGACAAATCTTCTGGTGAGCTTTGAGAAAGCCCCAGATAGGACTCTGAGAATTGAAGATAATACAGAGAATGGAGCTCAACAGCTTACCGAGGTGGTACAAACTCAAACCAACATAGCCATTGGAACTGAGGGGCAATATGATATGGATCATAGATCAGAGATGCCTACACATTGCAATGTCAAGAGGTCAAGAGTGGAAGTTGTAGAAACAACAACTGGAAAGTTGGATATAAATCCCCTGCAGAATGTCTTCTAGATGGGTTGCGTTGCCCCTGCAATATTGAGTTCAAGCGGTAAGAGTGGTTCTGGACAGCCAAGGAGGAGTTCCTGGACCCGACAAATCAAGCCGAAACAGAGTAGTGCACAAACGCCCCTGAGTACAAAACCCCTGGCATCGGAGGAGGTCCTGGCCGCAAAACGCAAAGCAACCGAGGAAGCTGAAGTCTCCTCAAAATCTTATAAATCAGCTGATGGTTTGATGGTTTCCCAGAAACCATCCAATGCTCAATGACTACACTTTGTTGGAACTGTCAGGGATTGAGAAACAATCTGACAGTTCGGCGCCCTGAGGAGATGTGTAGTGAGCATCTCCCGGCTTTTCTGTTTCTCCTAGAGACCAAAAACTCTAGTGAGCACGTGTTGCGAATGACGAGATCTCTTGGCTATGATAATTCCCATATTGTTGATCCATTGGGTCTGAGTGGAGGGTTGGCGTTGTTTTGGAAGAATTTGTACGAAGTAGATGTGCTATACGCTGATAATAGAATGATTGATATCAAAACGCAGACTGGATCGACAAAGTTCTACATCACTTTTGTCTATGGAGATCCAGTAAGGAACCAAAGAAGAGTAGTTTGGGATAAGCTTATTTCGATTGGTCTCCAAAGAAGATCTGCGTGGATGCTTGCTGGCGATTTTAATAAGATCATGAACAACTCGGAGAAGCTTGGTGGTAACCCCAGACAGGAGGCATCCTTTTACCCTTTTCGTGGCTTGGCTAGAGATTGCCGGATACAAGAAATCCCAAGCTCCGGAAATACGTACTCATGGGCTGGTTTCAGAGAGGTGCTAAACAATGGTCAAAAGGAAACAGTTTGGATTCAATGTCGACTGGATCGAGCTTTTGGAAACTCCGAGTGGTACAAAATTTTTCCAGGATCACATACTACATACTTGGAAAGACTAGGCTCTGATCACAGACCGATTGTGATGACATTGGCATCTCAGGGTAATGCTCGGGTTGGTAGATTCAGTTTTGATAAACGGTGGTGCTCAAAACCCGAGGTTACTGCAGTAGTTCGACGAGGCTGGGAAAAGGAGAACGGACGAGTCTCAGAAAGGATTTCAAATTGTCGAAAGGAACTGGCTCGATGGAAGCGAAATTCTGCTTGTAACTCCAAGAAGAAGCTCAGAGAATGCAGAACAAAGTTAGAAGTTGAAGTATCAAAACTCAGGCCGGACCAGAAGAGAATGATGGATCTAAAATTGGAAATAGAACAAGCGCTAAAAGAGGAAGAGGTTTACTGGAAACAAAAAAGCAGAGATACAACATTACAGGAGGGGGGTCGTAATACAGCTTGGTTTCACAATGTTGTAAAGACTCGTCGCATGAGAAACAAAATATCAACGCTAATGGACTCTAATGGGGTTGATCATTTTGAGGAGGATGTCAAAGGAAAAATAGCTGTGGAATACTTCACTCAGCTGTTTCGATCATCGAACCCTGTGCCTTCGACTGAGTTGTTAGAGGGGTTTCAACCGCGTGTGACATAGCAGATGAACAGAGAACTCACTAAGCAAGTAACCGACAGCGAAATCAAACGGGCAGTCAAAGCTATCAAGGGAGATAGTGCCCCAAGAGCTGATGGAATGTCAGAAAGGTTTTTCCAAAAATACTGGAACATAGTAGATCCTCAAGTTACAAGAGAGGTTAAAAACTTTTTTGAATCTGGGATAATG